TTTATACGTATCAGTAGTAATATTTTAAATACAAATTATAAATTGAACATTTAAATAAGTTTTATTTTACTTTACAAAATTAATATTATTTCGTAGATTAAATTGTTTAATTAATAATAAAATGTGTTTTATTGTAAACGTTAATTTTCTACGTAGAAATTATCAATTTTTATAATAAATAAAACTAAAAATTTACGCTTAAATGTAAGTAAAAGTTTATAAATTTTTACTTACATTTAAGCGTTATTATATATCTGAGGATATGTTTTTAATTATATTAAACAGATATTTTTAGCAATTTATTATATTTTTATTATAGTTCTTTCCACAAATCTTAATTCAATAATAAAATAGAGAACGTTTATTATTAAGTTCTTAAAAAGAAGGTTAAAAAATAATTTTAAAAGTTGATTAGAGAATAATATATGATATTTTTTTTTACATAACGAAACAATATTTATAACGAATATAATACTATATATCATATTTATTTGTAGTAACAAAGACGGTATATTTCTAAAATATGCCATATAGTAACCGTGCTATAACTATAAAATATATTTTTCGAAAAATTCCATTATTTATTTTCATTTTAAGTCAATAAACTATAAAAAACTTTTATATTACCGAAACTTTTGCTGTGTTTTCAATACTTTAATCATTTAAATAAATGTAAGAAGACAATAAAAAGTAAAAAAACATTTAAAAAGACATTAAAAATAGCAAATTCTAGTGAAAAATTTCGTTTGAAAATAGAAATTTAATGTCGAGATATTTATATAAATTAATACAATGTTTTTCATTATGTACAATATTAATATTTTAAAGATTTAAGTTTATAAAAATGATTAACTAATAGAGAAATATATTTTGAAAATGTGTTAATGAAAAATCGGACATTAAATTTAATTGTGACTATTCGAAAAAGTTTAAAATTTACTTCTTATATAGCAGACATTTTAATGGATTAAATAGTTTAAAAAACTAAAGCTAAACTCGATTATAATGTTTGCAATATAAGAGTATATTTAACTAGAACCGATCACTTTAATAACAAAGGATTTGATCGAGAAGAACTTTTTGATAATGATAAACGATGGTCATAGGATATGACTTATAAAATGCAAACATTATTATGAATACTTTTTTCTGTAAATTTTTAATATTTCGATATAATTAAAATGGTTTAAAGGTTTATAGGCCTATTATTAATAAAATTTTCTGAAAAACAAAAATATTTTTATAATAGATAATATGTAAATATTGAAGAAATTAAAACTATAAAATAATTGATTTATTTTAAGCTTAATTCTTGCGAAAATAAAACTATTATAAAGGATATTTGTTACTAATTTATAAGGCAATCGAACGTAAAATTTAAATTTTAAATGATATAAAATTTATCACGAAAACAAATAATTCGTTATATAACATTACTATATACGGTCGACCCCCTATAACACTGTTGATAATTCCGTTTTATATGAATTTCATGTTGTACGAGTCACTTAGATTTTACAAATGCGTGAGCTGTTCACAGCCCGGCACACGTATTTGTAAAATCTAAGTGACTCGTACAACATAGAATTCATATAAAACGGAAAAATCAACCGTGTTATAGGGGGGGTCGACTGGTACTGTATTTAAAATATTGATTATATATTTTAAATCGTAGCATTTATTAAAAACTATTTTATTAATGTAAACAAATGTCGAGTTTTTTTTTAAATATATACCAATAAACAGAATAAATAGCATAAAAATATATTCTCTTTTTCTACAATATTTTGATCTTTTTTATATGTTGAACAAAAACTTGAAATCCCAAGATAGATTTTAAAATTCTTTACAGATAGTTACTGAACTCCTTCGCTCGAAGCTATTTCAATCAACAACTGTTTACACTGCAGTGGCTGAATTTTCCACCTCTGAGTTATCTTTGACAAGAGAAGTTTATGACAAATAATCCGATTCAATATATATATATATATATAGTCCCTCTTTTTAAACCAACAGACAACATACATTTTTTTATATTACTTTCACTATAAAGTTCAACGAGATATAACTACAAAAGCGTTACTAAATCGAATTTTCAGTTATTGTAAGCGAATTATTGTGTAATTTAATATTTCGTTAAGGTAAAATAAAGCTAATTTGTACTCCTCTTTCATACAAAGCATCGAAGCAGCTCGTTACCTCGTAAAATATCTTAGCTCCAATTATTTCTATAACAATTTCAACAATTTCTCTTAACAATGATGAAGTGACAAAACTGAATTGAAGGCAATTATAAGTTGTGAAAAGTGTTGAAATGACTAGACTGAAGTTGTATATAATTCTTCAATTATCACTTTCTAAATTATATAATGTATTTTTATAATTCTTTAAATAAATTGCTAGATTTTTAAACGTTATTATGTAACTTGTTAAAATTATTATAATGTAATTTTCTTTTAAAAAATTCTTTCATGGCAGATACAACACACTTGGATTTAAAAAAAAAAAGTGCATTGCAAATTTGCAACTACACAGTTTGATCTTAAGCCGCTTCTAAGAACATTTGTTTGTGACATCTTAACGCCTTTTTTTTAAAGATTATAACAAACAAGATATTAATCCGGTCTGAAAGAAGTAAATATCTATCATCTCTTCCATTGAGACTCCCATTCATTCCCTTTTTTTTTTAAAAAAAAATAATAATAATAAAAGAAAATAGATTAACTTGACAGCGATATAAAAGAAGATTAAATGTAATAATGCCATAAAAATAGATTAATTCGATTAATTATCGTTTTTGTATTGATAATTTGTTCAAATTAATCTACTTTTTAAATTAATTATTTAGTAAAATATACAACTGTTGCTGTTAATATAACGAATACAACGCTTATTCCGATTAAATTATATTGAAATTATACTAAAATATAAAATTATTTCGAAGAATATGAAAATAATTTTTATTTTATTAAACATTATTAAGTTTAAAATGAATTTTACATATAAAGCGCCTTGTAATGTTGTTTCCTTAAATAACACAAAGTAATGCAGTAAAGATAGCATCACTACTGTTATAATAATAATAATAATAATTTAAAATCTATAAAATAAAATGATTACATTTAAATAAATAACATAAAATTATATTTTTATAAATATATATTTATAACATTTATTAATATTTATGCTAATGTTTAATGTAAAATATAAGAGCGAAGTTTAACAATATTGTATTAAATAATGCTTGATGAATTTATAAAAAATTTATTAATTAAACAGTTAAAAATTAGATATTATTTAATTTTTAAAACAATTACAACACAATAAAGTATTTTAAAACATAATTAATTAGCTTGGAGTTGAAGAGTGCTTCATATAGGTTAATAATTAATTTTCTTTTTTTTTAATATAAATTTTTAAGTTTCATCAAACTTCGGAAATATTTTTTTTTTTAGAAGAAATTCGTGTTTAATAAGTTTTTCATTATCTTCCTTACTTTGGCAGTTTATTAATCATGCAGCGATAAAATATTTATAGATTGCTACAACCACTCTCTATAAATAATTTAAGGTATTATCGGTTGACTTATTAATTTTAATATTGATTGATTAGAAAATTATTTACTAATAAATAGATAAATCTTGAACAGAATTAAATATTTAATCAAGTTAGGCACGGTATTAGACTTTTATATTTATTCAATACAAAATAGTTTCACGTAAAGTCTGTTATCGTCTAATGAAATATACTAAGTAAATATACGTTAATTTTAATAAAAATGTAAATTTTAATGAAGAAATTTTATCTTAATTTATTCGAACTAATTATATCAATTAGTGTAGATAGGTTATATTTAATATCTGTTTATTAAAAGATAAATTTACTAGTATCTTAAGAGAATTAATTTATTGCTTGTTTGGATGTAGATAATCAATGGCCTTATCTAGTAATTTATAGTCGATTTATCTGTTTAATAATTAATTATTTTTATTTAAAAATTTTTCTTTTATAAAAGTATTAATTATTCATTTTAATTAAAAATTATACAGTAAAAATTGATGAATAATTCTTGTTTAGAAGCGTGTTTTTGTACCATTGTTTTTTTGTTGTAACTAACAAAATACAGTAGAACCTCCAATTACAGTAGAACCTCAGATACAATACAGTAGAACCTCAGATACAATACAGTAGAACTTCAGATACGATACAGTAGAACCTCCAATAACGATATAGTAGAACCTCAGATACAATACAATAGAACCTTTAATAACGATACAGTAGAACCTCCAATAACGATATAGTAGAACCTCAGATACAATATAGTTGAACCTCCAATTTTTAGAAATTGTTTTTTGAACAAAATAACCACCAAACCACGGCATTTTTATGTTCTCATCAGTGTTCGTTGTTCAGAAGTTCGATTGTATTATCTGACAAATTTGTTATTTTCTCCTGTTTTCTAAGATTTATTTTTTATTTGTATAAGTTTTATAACTTCTATTTTTTACAATTATTTATAATTTTGATAAAATATAATTATATTTCATATTTATAAAACTTTTTTTTAATAGTTTATATAAATTAAGCGAATTAAACAATTTTAAAATTAAGTTTATAATTTTAAAACCTCTAAACAACGGCTACTGACGAGAATAGAGAAATGGTCGTCGTTTTGCAGATTAATTTGTACGCATAGTTTAATAATAAAAAAAAAATTCTTGAAAAAGTGGCCGCTATTGGAGGTTCGACTGTATTATTAATTTCAATAATGTAAGATGTTTTTTGCTTAACGTTATTATTCTTTATTGATTTATTAATGCGCTTTTAGGAAGAAAACCGTTTCATGAGATGAAATATTAATTTTAATGTAGAAAATTAATGGAGAAATTTTGTCCATTTTCGTTTTATATTTAACATTTGTGTTCTAGGAATAAATAAAATCGATTCGTAAATAATAATTGAGCGTCGTGATATTTATTTTTTTTTTTATGCTAGATTGGAAAATGTATCGAAAAAAAAATTCTATCATAGAAATAGTGTAATTAACTAGAAGAAAAAACATAGAGTAAGTATAATTATCGTTTATAATTATATATTATTAAAGTATTAATTATTTTCGAATTTTTAAATAAATTTCTAATTTGTCAATAAATATTTTAATACTTACAAGTATTTTATTTTATTTTATTGTTATATTGTAAATGAGTAAATTTATTATTTTATAAATAATTTATACTTATTTTTTTATTTATTTTTATTACTTTATATATTAAACAGTCTTTAGTATCATGGAAAAAATAAAAAATTTACTTTCCTATGAGTTTTTTACTTTGATATGTTTAGATTTATATAGCAGACTGTAAGATGATACTTTTATACATAAATAAGTAAATATTTAAAAATGAAAATAGTCTTTAAAAATTATTATTATATTGGTTCTTTTAAATTTTTAAAGTTACAAAAGATTTAACTCTCTTGGTAAATTGTATCATTTGTTTTCTTAGCTGTTTGTCTGTCATGTAAAGTACTTCATATAAGTTACTGTCCATATTAAATATTAAAAATGGTAATTTTTTTTTATAATTAAAGTCCTTTAAATCTTAAAATTTAATTTAAAAATTTCAATAATTACAATATTTAAATAGTTTAAAGAGTATATTTTGAATTAGTTTTATTTTCTATTTGTTTATTGTGAATATTTTGGTTAATTACTGTTGTATTCTTGTGATTTTGTAACAAAGCATTACTGTATTGTGTCTAAGAATAATGTGTCGTGTAAATTAATGCATACGATAACATTATGATATAGTTAATAACATTTTGTAATAATAAAACATATAATAATAAATCTATATATATACATATATAAATGGACGTGTGTATCCCTATATTTCACTTTTTAGCCAAAACTACACATCGCACATGAATGGTGTTTGTATGTGGTAGTAGCCCCAAGTCTCCATTCGTGCACTATGGTAGTTGCGTCTCGATAGCTATAAGGGTGCGAGAGATATGGGTTTGAAAGTGGTTGACTTCGAAGATGTGTAACAATGGAAGTGTCAACAATGGAAGTGTTAACAATAGAAGTGTTAACAGTGGAAGTGTTAACAATGGAAGTGTTAAGAATGGAAATGTTAACAATGAGTAAGAAAGGAAGTGTTAATATAAAGCGGCATGCAAGATTTACAGGCGGTTTTTTGCGTTTTTGCGGGTCCTTGTAGCTAGATTCTAGATTACTTAGAAAAACATTCTTTTATATATATAAAAAACTATATTACATACAAATAAAAACCCAGCGAAGCGGGTCCTTGCAGCTAGTATTAGAATAAAAATTCATTAAATGATTTTTTTTTAAAATTATGGCTCGTATTTGTACTCGTTAATTGTGCTAAATTGTTTGAATTGTTAATTATATTAGAAGTTGTCTTATCGAGTTGAACCTCAATCATTAATTACTCTTGAACTTATAAAATTGAATTGTACTTATTAATCACACTTAAATTCTAGTTATCTAATCAAAATTCATTTGTTAATTACACTTGAACGAAGCGTGTTTTTGTACCATTGTTTTTTTGTTGTAACTAACAAAATACAGTAGAACCTCCAATTACAGTAGAACCTCAGATACAATACAGTAGAACCTCAGATACAATACAGTAGAACTTCAGATACAATACAGTAGAACCTCCAATAACGATACAGTAGAACCTCAGATACAATACAGTAGAACCTTTAATAAGGATACAGTAGAACCTCCAATAACGATATAGTAGAACCTCAGATACAATACAGTAGAACCTCTAATAACGATACAGTAGAACCTCCAATAACGATATAGTAGAACCTCAGATACAATACAGTAGAACCTTTAATAAGGATACAGTAGAACCTCCAATAACGATATAGTAGAACCTCATATATATATAGTCCCTCTTTTTAAACCAACAGACANTACTTATTAATCACACTTAAATTCTAGTTATCTAATCAAAATTCATTTGTTAATTACACTTGAACATCATCCGCGAAAATCCTCAATTCCCAAATCATCATTTCCTTACTATTAAATATCATTTAAAATTAATTATTTTTTTAAAAGTAGTTATAATAAATTTTAACGTGTGACAAAATATGAAAAATATGTTTAATGTTATTTTTTATTCCTCCAAAAAGATCTTCTTCATCTCTCAACAGAAATGAATTGTTGGAAATATTTTATGTAGGATGTTGTGGAGAGAGTGCAATATTTGAATATTGCCTTAGGCCAACATTCTCCAACTCAGTTAATTTTATAATTAATTTTAGACTATTAAGATAATATGAGATTAATAATGTCAGCATTGTTATTATAATATTAAAATTTTAAACATCGATTAAAAATATAGTAAATAAAACACTTTAAAAATTTTAATAAAATGTTTTAAAACTATTAATTAAAAATTTATGTAATTAATTTAAATTACATAATTATTTTATTAAATAATTATGCATATTACATTAGAAGAATTTTTTAAAATTTAATAATATTGCGGTTATCCTTCTGCAATTTATAGAAAAAAGAAACAATGGCCAAGTGGCAGCAAGCTGCAATTGATCAACAGAGCATATTAAATGAGAAATTCGAACGGTGTCTTCAAAAAATATCAGACGAAAATACACCATATGACGGTAAGTTATTTATTTAATTATTTTTTTTAAATTAAATGTGTTTATACGCGAAAACTAGAAAACGGACTGAAGAGTCAGAAGCGTCCAAGCGGAATGCTTCTCAAAAGAAGTGTTGTTTCTTCCTCAATAACATCGTCTCTCCATCACTTTGTCCTCAGTGGACAAGCAATTACAGTCAAGAGGAAATGACTGGCAGATTTTGATTTAGTCGAGCTTTTGACATTGATAAAATGAGAGCGAACGAGCACATCATCGCTCATTGTAATTAGATGTCTCAGGTGATAAAACGGAACAAATATACATTCGAATGTTATTAATAACCAAATACATTTCTCCAGGGTTAAAAAAAGGATGAAATTTTACTGTTTTTAGTGATAAATATAAATTTATATCAAATATTATGTTTTATTTTGAAGGTTTTCAATGACAACCATAATCTGAGAAGAGTGGCTTCCAGACAATAACTTTGTCTTTGACAACATTTTGACATGTCTCTAGGAACTTATTACTTATTATCCTGTCATATACTATACCAATAGCTGTCTCGTTAAGAAATAGATTCTATCATTTTTTTTCTTCCAGGATAATGTTTCTATTGAGACATGCCAATATTTGTTAACCGCATGTGGGAAAGTTAGTGTATTGGTGTAAACATTTTTATCATTATTTCTAACTTTTATCACAGGTGAACTATATTGTCCCATTACCTGGGATGGTATATATTGTTGGCCTAACGTACCAGCTGGTACTGTTCATCATATTCCGTGTCCAAGTTATATTCACGGATTTAATGTTAGAGGTGAGTGTTCGGTTGATTAATTTGTGTATCTGTTTGAGCTATATTATATTAATACCTTTTTTAAAAATAGAATTTGCCAGTCGTTATTGTACAATGGAGGGAAATTGGTGGAGAAAGGACTATACAAATGAAACGTGGAGTAATTACACTCAGTGCACTATCCATGATCCAACAATTTTAAATGAAACTCTAGTGGAGGTAAATAATGCCTTGAAGAACTTAAAAATCGTATAAAAACTATGCAAGGAACAGATTAAAATGAAAGTAATCAATTAAATTAACATTTTGTAACGAAAGCAATCTCAGTTTTAATTAGTATTTAACCGAACGGATAGGTAATTTATTAAATTTAAGTGTTTAATTATTATAAATTTTATCATTTTAATTAACAAGAATTGATTTAAAAACTGATTTGTTATAGCCACATATGGAAAATATTAAATTAATATCGAAAGTAGGATACTCAACTTCACTTGCTACACTTTTGGTAGCGTTTTTTATACTTGCTTTTGTCAGGTAAATTTTCTGAATATTTAATTTATTTTATGTATTATTTTATTCAAAATAATTAAATAAAAAGACAATTTTTTTTAAACAGGAAATTGCGTTGTCCACGAAATAATCTTCACATGCAACTTTTCATGTCTTTTATTATGAGATCCGTTATGTTCTTACTAAAAGATGCTTTATTCGTAGAAGGTATTGGTTTACGCTCCAATGCTACGTTTACAGATGATGTTTTTGATTATACTGAATCAATAGCTGTGAGTTTGCTTTATATCATCACATGTGAAAGCACATGACGTTATTCTTTAATTAGTTATTTAACCTTACTAAGTAATGATTTTATTAGTTAAAAATTAACATTAGTATTAATTTTCAACATATTTAATATTTAATAGAAGCATTACTGTTAACGTTAATATTTTTAATATTAGTTTTTAGGACATTAGCAGCTAAAATATATATATAAAATCCATTCTGTTTTACTTTATATTTTTATTTTTGTTTGAGATTAGAATGTAGACTGCAAGATTTTCACAAGTTTCTGGCATTATTTTTTGATGGCTAATTATTGCTGGATTTTAATGGAAGGATTATATCTTCATAATTTAGTTTTTCTCGCCATGTTTACCGATACAACTAGTATACTTCGTTATTTAATACTCGGCTGGGGTAAGTTTTTAATTTTTAAATTTTTCTAAGATTTTTTTTTTTACACAATATAAAATTATGACCAATTTAATAATCTCTATTATTAATTATTATTAATACAAGTGTACATTTGTACACTTGTAAACGCATTGCGCCATCTGGTAACATTAAATAATACTAAAATGCTGAATATTTTATAGGTTTACCGCTACTCTTTATCATTCCATGGGTTGTTGTTAGAGCAACACTAGAAGATACCTTGTAATAAAATTTTATACACAAGTTTAATTTACAATGAAAGTTGACGTAATAAATTAAATATGGTATTTTAATAGATGCTGGACGACCAACCAACATTCAGCCTACTTTTGGATAATTCGTGCTCCCATAACTGTATCCATCTTGGTATGTTATGCTATCATTTTTAAAGCTAAATTACACTTTAAACATTTTCTTAACATTAATTACGACATAAACTTTTAATGCAGGTGAATTTTATCTTCTTTATTAATATCACTCGAGTACTCTTTATGAAGATGTTCGCTTCTCATAATTCACAAGCCAGAAAATACCGTTACAGGTAATAACTTATTATCATTATTCGCTAATTGAACATGAGAGTTCATCATAAATAATTTTATTATTATTTTATTACAGAAAATGGTTTAAGTCTACTTTAGTTTTAGTACCATTATTTGGTATTCATTATTCAATTTTATTAGTCATGTCTTTAGTAGCTGAAGTTAATAAAACTGTTGAAGTAATTTGGTTATATACTGATCAATTATTTTCTTCCTACCAAGTAAGTTTAATTGCTTTAAAGACATTAGAATGAAAAATATTCTATTTAATTTAAATTATGAATAAATTAATTAGTTGTTTAAATTAACTAAGCAACTTTTTTTTTTTTGAAGGGCTCTTTTGTTGCCTTTCTCTACTGTTTTCTGAACGGAGAAGTAAGTTTTAAATTTAAAATATATTTTATATTTTTAAAATGATAAATTTTTAATTTTAGCCTATTACCTATTTATAGGTACAGACCGAATTAAAAAAACTTTGGCAAAGGAACCTCACAACACAAAATCTCCGTTCTCATCATTCATTACTCAGTCATTCTTTAACTTCGTACGTCAGTCGCGGTAGGAGTTCAGTACAGTCGTTTCATTCCACATCACGTAAGAGAAAATATATAATTCAATGCATATGATATCGTAGTTACTTGAATTAGTTTTCTAGAATTATAACTATTTATAGTTCTGAACGTTATAGTTCCCGAGAAACGTGACCCTTTTCGAAGTGTTAGTCCCGTTGTACCGGATTGTAAAAGAAATCAGGATACAACACCTAGAAGACTTCCTCATTTCGAAACCAATCCTTGTTTTTCCTCAGACGATACAAAAGCTAATAACGATTACATGTTAGAAATGGAATCTCAACAACGTCAGTTAGTCAACGGTCACGTTACAATGAGGAATGCATCAGAAAATGATCGCGCTGAGGAAAACGATCGTTTACTATTAACAGGAGAAAATAATGAAAAAGAAAGTGCTTTGTGAATAAATATCAAATTTATTTGACTTATATAATTTTAAAATTTATGAAATGTGCCAATATATTAATATATATCATATAGGATTGTATTCATCAGAAATGTTTTTTTCCCCCTCTCATTTATTTTTGTGGTATAATAAGTATCGTGAGATGTTGTCTGTGAAGCTTAAATCATTTATAATTTATATGTATATATTTTTTTTTCATGACAATGTTGCCATAATATCATAAATGTATAC